TGAATAACAGATTGTAAACAGCGGAAAATGGATTTATGCTATGGCACTGGAGCCGCTTTTGTTGCACATTGTGATAGTTAATTTAGTAATGATACTAATAACTCTAGTATTCGCATGCGATGTTTTATCCTTTTACACATATTTTACTGCAATAAAGATTATTATATTTATATAAGTAATAATGTCGATAATCATGAAGAGTGTGTACACATCAGTGCGGGTAAATATATTTCTTCTTATATGCTAAAACGTTTTTCAATATTCTTAAGTAGAGTTTTGAAAATAAAAAAAATAAAGCCACTGTTAATTTTTCAAGATTTTTTCTTCTTTCGCTTATGGGTAGTGTGTTTCTTCTTAAAGTGCACCTACAAGATTTTTCAAAATCTCTAAAATAAAAATTTAGGTTAATGGAAGCACATCTGTGAAAGTTTGGTGATTATTTTGTTACGTAATCGTAAAAATAAAGCCAAAATTAAGTGTTCCAAATTATTTTGTCCGAGTAGGAACTGGCGCGACTCTTGTGACGTCATCCCAGGCCATAAGATCGCTCGCTAAAGACTAAATGCCTTATACAATGTCTATTTTTCTCACAAAAATCAATAAAACTGCTAAGATTGAATGTATCAAACCGTTTCATATTCACTGAGAATCATTGTAAAGCGCTTGCCGTGAGCTCATATCAGAAGACTTGAATTTCAGCAAATTCCTTGTCCTCGGCACAGAATACGAAATAGTCATTTGATGCACTTTTTCTCGAGAAAATGAAATATAAAACAATCACGATCACAGACATGAAAGTATTCTTCCTTTGCAGAGAAATGTCAAGCGCTGAGCTTGATATGCGGTTTCAAAATCGTGAAAATACGACGCCCGGCACTCATAATTTTGAACTGAAAACCGACTAACACTTCACGCTTTGCTTCTGGATCGCTTGGAAAGCGCTTAATCAAGAACGAAAGAGTGTTCATTGCTGGATTCGTAGTCGTTTCATTTCATGAAAATAGAAAAGCACTTGAAAGGAAGAATATATTCAGTCATGTGTTTGCCTTATTCGTACTTGATTATTTCATTTTCTCGACTACGAGAAATTTAGACTGCCGGGCATATAGAGAACTTGCCTCAAGTAGATAATGGCTGTTTTGCGTATGTTGTGGCGAGGCCAAAAGAATTTGCTGAAATTCCAGGCCTATTACTAGTAAACTGAGTTCACGGCAGGCGCTTGACTTTTCTCAATAAGTATATAGCAGTATGGTGTATTCTGTCTTAGTGCATT